AAAAAATTGTTTTTTAAATGTAAAAAGGATAGCATCAAACTGGTGTCCGCATAGAAGCAATCGAATATGTATGTGTGTGTGTGATTTATGTTAGCTCAAAGCCACACAATGAGCTATCTCAGCTCTGTCCAGTGCAGGGAATCGAACCCCGGATTTTAGCGTTTATGTCTGTAAAATTACCATTGACCAACCGAGAGACACAATTGCATCTGACAAACATATTATGTTCCATTTGCAAAGATCCCCCCCTCCCGTGGCATATATTGCTTGATACCACTCGTGGTGAGCAGAACACAGATAGCACATTGTGTAGTTTTGAGTTTATCAACAAAAACAAACTATTAGCAAAGGAACTCGGTATTTACTTCTTTGGCTTTATGGGGATCGCAGGTCGGTGTGTGTGTGTGTGCGCGCTATTTGTCGGCACCAAGTCAGAAGAAATGACAAGATTTAAATGAGCGCTGAACCTATAAAAGTGAGAAAATATATTGAATAAGGGGTTTGTAAGCTCTTTGGAGCGAACCCAAGAAGTCCCGATAGTTTCATAGCAATCAGAGGTCAGGAAGCCTTAAAATAGTCTTCCTGGACAAACAAGTAAACAAAAAACGCTTTATAGCATAGATATTAGTGGGACAAAAGAAAACAACGGAAACAATTTTAACACACAAAAATAAGTGTTATGTTTAAAAACCTTTAGTTCTTCTGGATTTGACGAAAGTGGCAATATCATTTTTAGAGTAAAAACAACCAAGCAAATATTTAAAATCAAAGCTGTTACTCTACAACCTTTTTTTAAGGTTGGGGCAGCAGTGTTACGGATATTCTGTGTTGCTCTTTCCGTGATCATTATCGCAAGATCTTTTTTATTTTGCTTTTTACTACACTTACGGTGTTTTATTACGTTAGGCCTCTTTTTACGTAAATGTGTGCCACTTAGCATCTGTTGCGTTTGCTTGTGAAAAATACTACAGGGTTCATGGGTAAAGTAAACCTTAACTGCCTCGGCTCCTATAAGTCACATTAAAACCGTAGCAATGGATTCATGAAACCGAAGTGTAATAATGAAGATGGAGACGGTTGACGAAACTCAAAACACTTTATTTACAAGGTTCGAACGTTTCGGAATACATTCATTCCATCTTCAGCGAAATCTGAAAATCGTGTTACAAAAAATGATTATTAACTAAAACTATAATATCAGAATCACTAGTTTACTTAGTTCTTAAGAGAAATGGTAGACGGAAGGATAGAACAAAAACGAAACAAAGAATTATAAATGTATTTCAAAACAGTTTAGTATTAAGTGTGTAAATTTAGAATATTTGTAAATATAAAGAGCTTTGTGTTTGTTTGTTTATTTGAAGTTAAGCACAAAGCTACACAAAGCGCTATCTGTGCAAGTTTATTCAAAATATTTTTATATAAAGATCTAAATTTGAATGCTATTTCACCGGAATAAATAATTTCTTTAGATTTCATGTAACATGTTTTTAACACCCGTGAAATATACACCAAAGAATTTTTCACTCTCCAAAAACTTTTTAACTGCATAATATAAACATTTATCTAATTCTTATTTGCTACAATCCACAATGACAGTATACAATAGGTCTGTAACCATTTTTATGTGATACATAGGTACAGTACTATAATCATTTAGAAACGTAGATCTGTATTACCTGCGGAATTTTGAAGAGTCGAAGTAAGTTTGCTACCTGTATAGAAGTAACGCTAGATGCCGCCCCGAGCACACCTGATATAATTTTTTGTCGAATAATGGGACTTGAGCCGTCAGGACATTTGTATGTACCATCATCAATGTTACGTATAGAACCTGAAAAAAAAAAAAGGATGAATTTGTACCATATATCTATAGGCATTGTTAAATGTGAATTAGAAAATATCTATTTATAAAAATTTACTACATCAATAGAAAAAATAAACATTTATTGGAAAAGAAAACATTCAACATAATAATATAACACCAACGACAAGAATATATCAAAATGTTATTCTGACGTAAGGTCCAAAATCTTGATCGAGTCTTTCAATTTGTAAAACGATTATAATTTATTTTGTTTTTTTTCCAGTCACGGAGTACTGTTGTAAATTATAATATTTTAATTCATAAAAAAAAAATATTCTCTTTGACGGTTTAGTTTAATCCAAACCAAAATTTCGAGAAAAATACTATTACGCCACTTTCGTGTTCTTGTTCCTCGCTGTTTTGAGCTTGATATTGCTGGATTTTGAAGAAAGTTTCTAAATCGAATTATGATATGATCATTTCCACATTGTTGTGAGATTAACTGTGGCTTTAAGATGTAATTCTAAATCGGAATAAAAGAGGCGAGCCTTCATTCACCTCTAACTGTAACACTGTACAATATTTATTTTACTGTGCTGTTACTATATTTATCATTAACTAAAGGACGCAGAATTTTATAAAAACCGAATAGCTTACCACCAGTAGGTCTACGGTTCTTAAGAAAGCACAAAACAATGCTACTCCCATAACCTTAAAACACATAGTTTGGCTAGACCTCTGGAAGCATTCAAAACACAATCTAAATTAACTTGTTAAACAGCTGGACGACTCCAGAAGTGTAGACGCTCCAATTAACTTCTCAAAAGTAAGTATCAGCTGGAGCATAATCTTGTAGAATAAGTATTACTTATCTATAAAATTACTGACATATTCATGGCGGTACAGATTCCTGGTATTATTTTGCTTGTTCCCATGATTTTAAATACCAAACCGTATCGTGCAAGGCGTGGCCCATTCATTAACGTGCTCGGGCTCTGAGGCTCATGTTTTTATAGTTGAACGAGTTTTACATCTTTTTACGTAAAAGGCTAATTAGTTTAGCATTAGTAGATCATACAGAGAAATGGCACATGCACCGCAAACCTAAACTATAGCAGGTAATACAATAATGCTGTTCATAGTCACACACGAAATACAGATGGTTGAGCACGTTATATTAAAACGATTTTGTAGTTTCATCACGTCAATACAGTCCATGTCGCTTCGTCTGACGGCCATTGCATCTTGCCAATAGCCCTGCAGGATGTTTTCCATTCCAAAAGGCTCCGTTGTGAGGCTGTCATGTCCGAAACACGCCACTTATTCCTGCATGCTTTCCATGATCCACCTAGTGTGCAAGGACTACGGTTTTTCAGTGCCTTTTTTTTATCAGTTCGATTGCCAGAAATCCACAAGCGACTTGGCCGTTATTTCTTTGTACGGAACAGCATGAATACCCGTTTCATTCCTCAGCTGCTTCAAGTATGCGACGGTTGAACGGGAGTTACGAATGGGAACCTTATCTTGGTGAACCTATTTCCAGGCGAAAATCCTTCTTAATTATCTTTCCTATTGTTCCCTGTGAAACGTTGGTGGGTTTTGCTACTGGCCTTTATGTCTATGGATTCTCACATGGTACAAGACGCCGCACTTTGCTTACCACAGCTGGCATATGACTTGTTGCAAGTCTGGTTTTGGATGGTTCTGATGCACACATTGATCCATATTCCTTTGTTTTTCAATGCCATTAAGTACAAGGGATATCCCCTCTTGAAAATTCTAGATCCCCGACCTGAACTCATCTTCTTGATCTAAGTCTATAAACATTTTGCGCCAAAAAAGCTGTTACATATGCTTCCCAAAAAGGATCACAGTCTGAAAATTTAGCTCTAATACATGCCATTCCAACGCGGATTTATGTTGGCTGTGTTTTTCAGGTGACTTGCTGATTTGCATATTTGAAATCGTTTTAATATAACACACTTAACCATCTGCATGTGGAGAGGGTTCACGGGCAACCGATGGCACCTCATCCTGAATCCAACCCTGTGGTTTTACCCGCTGCAGATATAGAACCTCGAATTTTGTTTGTTTGTTTTGAATTTCACGCAAAGCTACACGAGGACTATCTGCGCTAGCCGTCCCTAATTTAGCAGTGTAATACTAGAGGGAAGGCAGCTAGTCATCACCACCCACTCTTGGGC